GGGCAGCAACTCTCATCATGCCAAAGCCATGCCAGGTCACTCATGTGAAAGAGGTCAAATACTCCCACATGTGTCACGGGCATATTTTGTCACACTTCCAAGAGAAATGTGGACGCAAACAACTTCTGCTAAACGTGTTCTCACTTGCAAATAGCCTCTGAGTGAAATTCTGCATGTTTGTTTGGGGATTTTTTGAAGCAGCTTTGGAGATTTCAGTAATTACCTGACATCTGCTGCAAATGCACTGATGCACTTTGCACTGAAATTCAAACTGAGGCTTTTGTGGCGTTTATTATTCTATCAATACAACTACTGCTGCAGCCGGGCACAGATTAAGCGTGGGCGTCCGTAGGCGCTATCATTTTTGGGACTAACAGTCTTCCTGCTGTTACTATTTATATTTTAGTAACAGTTTGTTTAACTCACAGTTTCGCTTCCTTCCAACTAAAAACCAAAAGATCTTGCAAAAGATGAATGCAGAAATAGACATGTTTGGGGATGTTTGGGCCTAACTAATTTTGAGTTGGGCTTGCTATTGTTGTTGTAGTGAAGATATTCAAATTGCCCCTCTCCTTCATAATGCTTCCACCCACTCTTTAAACACTTGAACCCGGCCCCCACCGACATTGACACTCGGTGCCATGGTACCAGTCTCAGCCAGCTGTGGAGGGAGGAGGCCCTGAGTAGTGACATTGGCAGTGGTGGAGAGACGGTCCCGGTGACCCCTCCGCCATTACGTTATATGTGTGTATTGTGGCACCATGGTCTTTGTTTGACATCACTGGCCTTTGTTCCTTCCCAATCATGGCAGATACAATGGATATTGTATCTGCTGCCACAAAGAGATGCTCTTTCTTTGGGCCCCCTGAAGCCAGCGTTTCACCACCATCCCTCAATCGCCTGGTGACGCCTGTGACCACTGGACAAAGAGGGCTGGACCAGATTTAGTAAGAGCAGAGCTGTGAGGTGTTGGCACAAGCATTTGAGCTTTCACATACTGGATGAAGTCAGCGCTGAGAGGCTTATTTTACAGTAGCAATACCTTGTAGAGAGCTCTGTACAACACTTGTTGGCACTGGAACCTTTCTTATAGCGGAGTACAGCATCAGAAGCAGCAAATGTTTCCGGTCAGGCAGCCTTGGCTTTGCAAAGCCTTAGGTGCTTTCCTCTATCCCATTTCTGGCAATGCATTTATTAACACTTTGGATGTTTGCTACCTGCTTCAACAGCTCAGCTTGCTCTGGAAGAAGTGCGTGAGATTGCTATAAAGTCCGTGTTGGCTGCTTTTGTTTGGACGCTTTATTGGGAGACGCTGCTTGAACTCTTGTTTGTCACTGCTGTCTAATTTATCTTCTTTTTTTTTCTTGGTCTTTTTCTTTTGCTTTCTTGCCTGTTGTTGGGGTTTTGGTGTATGCTCATGGATTTTCAGACAAAGGGAGGCCTTTTTCATAGCTCCCCCACTGGGTGAAAGAGTCCCCCACTGTGGCATAGATGTGCTGTGTGGTTATATGTGCGGTGTGTGCCGCCTGTGTGCTGATATATTATGCCCCCTCAGGTTGCTATGATTGCTGTATCCGGTGCATTGGGGCAGTGCCCTACCCATCCCTGGTGGCCACCTTGCTGTGCTATGCTGGCATGGCATTATTTTGTGGCTGCGGGCACGAAGCGCTGACCCAAACCGAAGTCCTCGTTGAGACTTACTTTGCCCGCAACATTCAGGACTATGTGGTCATGGCCTCTTTGTGAGTGATTTTTCAATAACTTCTATCAGTTGTGGCTTCTTTTTTCTAAGTCTCTGGCATTGCTTTGTTTTAACTAATTGACTGACTTCTCTCTGTGACTGTTCCAGTATCAAATACTTCCAGTACGTGATCTATGGTCTGGCTTCATTTTTCTTCCTCTATGGTATCCTGCTACTGGCTGAGGGCTTCTACACAACAAGTGCTGTCAAACAGACCTTCGGCGAATTCAGGAGTACCCAGTGCGGCCGCTGCCTCAGCCTGACGGTGAGCACATGGGTGGAGGAGGAGGGAGCGAGGAAATGAAGAGGGAGGGGAAATGTGAGGTGTCAACATTGTTGAGATGCTGAATTCTGGCTTGTTTTGAGTCTAATAAATATGCTCTTTGTTTCTGCAATTTCCACATGAATTATGGTTCATTACAGATTTAATGACACCACATTTATCACGCGGAAAGTATCTATTAGCATCTGTGTTGCGATTCTGTGACCTTGTGTGCTGCACTTTTTTGCTACAACAGTTCATCATAGTGACGTACATCTTGGCCTTCATCTGGCTGGCGGTGTTTGCCTTCAGTGCTATCCCAGTCTTCTTCTTGTTCAATATGGAGCAGACCTGCCACACCGTCAACATCCTGTCTGAATCAACCCCCAGCATTAATCAGCATGGCTGGATCTGCATGGACGCCAGGCAGTATGGTGCGTTGCTCGTGTAACTACTGACCACATGGTCCCCCTGATGGGAATGTTAATGCGCCCTTGAAAGCAATTAATCACCGTGTAGTGGCTGCTAGACTGATGGCTATATTAGTCAGGAAATAATGAAGAGAACTACACCTTTATGGTCATTTCTTCACTATAGTTTCCCCGACATGCTTCAGGCAAGCCAGAGCATACACGGATCATCAAATCTCATCATAATTCAGCCATAGTATGAGGTTTCTCACTTATGTTATGTCTCCATTTAAGGTCTGCTTCCTTGGAATGCAATGCCAGGCAAGTCTTGTGGGACAACCTTAGCAGCAATCTGCAAAACTAGTGAAGTGAGTAGAGTCTTTATACAGTTCGATATAGCATTTTGGCATCATCACATTAAAATCACTGATCAAAATCGACATAAAATCTGTTTTGAATTATTAGCAGGATAACGTGCATATGAGAGAGCTCACAGTAACACACACGAGTTTGATTAAACACCCTGCATGTGTTTCAAGCTAACCTTTTTTTATTATGTCTTCCAGTTCTATGTCACATATGACTTGTACATAGCTGCATTTGCCGGTGCTGGGATCACTCTGTTAGCACTGGTGAGCTATTTTTGCATTATTTCTAGGACATTTAAGCTAACTCTATTTAAACAGCTGAATCAAATTTAAATTTTGAAATGAAACCACTCTGCGGTGTTGGTGTTTTTCCTACGTCATCATAATAGTGCTTGTCAAGGATTAATATTGCCAGTGACCAACAATATTTTCTGAGAGTTCAGTTAGCACAGGTCAAGAAGTTAGCTATTGCTTTAAAAACTATCATTACCAAACCAATGCAAGTAACCTAAATCTGGCTGGCAGCAAGCCTATCTTGATAATATATATATTTTATTGCATTCATTAATAAAGAAAACCCTTGAAATGCTTACCATTTATTCCGCAAGAGGGTCATATTTGAACACGGGCATCTTTTTATTGTTTCCCCCCCTAAATTGCAATGCTGTGACATCACAACAGCATGATTGGCCAGTTTTAGTGTTCATCCTGGACATACATTAATATGATATATATGTTTTATCGTATTATCTACATTTATCATATTACATAATGTTATGATGAAGCAGGAAAAACACCATCACTGGTACATCCGATAAACGTTTTTTCTCAATCTAGGCACTTGAAAATGAGTTTCCAGAAACAGAGCTGCTTTTACTGTTTAAAGTATCATTTTGAATGGTGTTGTGAGTGGAACCGCTTCTGATTAACACTGTACACAGCAAAGTATGTGAATTATTTGGAGGAACGGCGACACATTGTCAATGTCAGTTTTCAATGCTATGATCTTCATGCAAAAAAATTCCAGTCACCTTGTTTGTATTGAGCAGAAATAAATGAATTTTCAACGTGTGGATTTCTCTAAACCAAAACTCTGTTCGTGACTACACACAGTCAGAGATGACTATTAAAGTTTGCTTTCTATCTTGGATGATTAAAGCATTATACTGATCACTTCTCCTCTTGGAGACAAATGAATATTCATTGTCTGCTTGCAAAAAAAATGCTTACAGTACTCGTTTATGTGTAGAAGCTGATTATTTTTTTCATTTCATTAATTCTTCCACTCACTCTAGTTCCTGTATCTGGTTGCCACCACCTACAACTACGCAGTTCTGCGGTTCCTGGGCAGAAAAGGCATTCGCTAAGTGCAGCGCCTCAGTTTTCTCTGTTAACCCCATTGTCCGACTATGAGATGGACAGTCAGCCTACATTCATCCTCTGGGAAACGGCAACCTCCAAACCTGGATTGCCTGCTATTCTTTAAACCTTTCCAATAACAGAAATAGTTTCTCATCACTATTATGTATGAACAACAGACAGAGAGATGAAGATAATTTACCTCCAGCAATGAGCTCTGGCCTGTGCATCAGATCCTCCTTTCAAGATGATTCTCTTAGCTTTGTTGTTCATTTTCCCATTGCTGGTTGTATCTCTCACTTTATCCTTTGTGTGAGGCTTTGTTGGTGCTCATTGTGATTTATGATGTTTCATGAATAATTAAGAGCAATGACAGCTTGCCTCGCAAGTCATAACTGCATGCACAGTATTCAGTGGTTACTGACACCCAAATTGGCTCTCAGTATGATTTTGTGGCTTCTCTATTATCAGCCTTCAAAACTGCATGAACTAAAACGAGTGAGGCTGAACGAACCAAATTTTCCCGTTGAGCTTTCACTTACAATAAACATGCTTTTTAGTCATACTTATACAGTCTCTTTTTTTTCTCTTTCGTTTAAATGCTACCATGGTAGGTGGGATAAAAAGGTGTTCAGCCCAATATAAGCTGTTTTAGGTTGCAGAGGGGTTGATGCTTCAGTAACTTGTCTCCAGGTGTTTAGCGTGTAGCCCTGCTACTTAGACTTGTGTGTGCTTATTTGAAATTAAGGCTCATTAAAACATTTAAATCTGATGCGTGGAATTTTATTCTAGCCATATACAGTTGCATTGCTGGTATTTATTTATTTTTTTTGCTGTATTTTTAATTTATCCTTTTCATTGCAGAATCATTAATCATAACAATATATTGCCCTTTTACTGGATACAGTTGTGACAGAAAAAGAAAGAAAGAAGAAGTCGATAGGGAAGTTATGGGAAATAATGGACAGCACATTCATCAAGGTATGCTTGGACTATTTTCTGGAAACATATTTGTCCCAGATAGGCATCATTTCTTAACCGCTTTTGAAAAACACACTCCACACTGGATCACTTGGTCCTTCAAAAACATGGGGGTCAGCATATCTCCAAGGGCCCTAGCACAAACCCCGCACTGCAAAAGCATACTCAGTGTTAATTTCATGTACGAGAGATAGTGAAAGGATATCATAAAAGCACAGATATACAGCATTTTTACAAAAGAAAACATAACAAACCTTTAAACAGTCTGGGTGGCAGTTTATCGAGGGCTCACTGAACATGATCTTGACATTTCCATTAATGATTTGGTTGCAGAAGTAACAAGGAGATTTGCCATGACTGAAGCAGGTGGTTAAAAAACAAAGCAAAGGTTATGAACCTTATTCATTTTTACACTTATGTACACTAAAAAAAAACCATTCTTGGCTCTCATAAACACAAAGCAATAATTTTGACTAAATGTAACTGAAATATATGAAATCAAAAGTGAATTTATTCAAATACTTCATCAATTAAGGAAGATATGCTGAATGTATAACAATCATGACCAGAGTCCATTAAATTACCGTTTTACATTTAATGTATGTAACTAAACCACTTGGAAAATTTACATGTAATCAAATTACTTAATGTCAACATTTTAGGGATAGATATTTTTTGAGTGTTGTATAACTATGTACAGTAAGAGTGAGAAACTTACATGGGCTTATTCAGAGTTTTTGTTGAGTTTACGTCCTCTGCAGGCTTTTGAGACACATCAGAACTACAAAAACAGTCACAAACAATGAGGATGATTTTAGTGCTCAAATAAAAATATGCGAACAACACTGAATACTCTACTGTTCCTTTATTTTTTTTAAATAAAAACACTCACATATGGCTATCATCACACTTTTGGTTTGGTTTGAAGTCCTCAGAGTGGGGTTGTCTTGGATCTTCCACAGGTTTAGGAACAGCTTCAGCCTTGGCTGTCTCCACATCTGAAGCATCAGTCAGTCTAATAGCTGCGTGCTCTGTGTTATCCAAAACACCTTCTGCATCTGAAGCAGCTACTTGGTCAAGGGCATCTTCAATGTTCAACTCTTTGTCACAGTCTGCTGCTGTCTTAGGTGTTGGATCAAAACTTTGTTCAACAACAGTGCCTTCATCTTCGCGCTCAACCGCCTCTTCAGTTCCGCTTTTAAAAACCGGCTCAGAGGGTGGTGCACACTCGACTTTAAACTCCACACCCTTGGCAGTGTCAGCATCGGATTGACTAGATGGTGCAGGCAGAGTGTCGGTGACTGATATGGTGCTGTGTTGTAGAGCAGTTTCTTCTTCTGGTGTTGCATCACTTACAGCGGGTGTTTCCACACCGCCTTGGAGAGAAGCTTCTTTTCCCGATGTTGCCAAAGCAGGTGGTCCATACATGTTTACTCCTGCGTGCTCTAAATTAGTTGTATTCGGCGGTTCTGTTTTGATTACAGATTCTCCAGAGACTCCAGCGGTGCTTTTACTCTCACTACTCTCTCTCACTGTGCCTTCCGCAGCAGAGATTTCTGCAGGGGGATTTTTCACATCAGCATCTGCGGAGGCCTTATCCTCATTGTGACAGTTGTCAGCTGGTGCATCAGCATGTTGTTCCGTGTTTTCTGCAGTTGCTTCAGTAAATGTCTTTTCTGGCTGTGCATTAATATTTTGAATAGGTGCTTTTGTGGGGGGTTGAGGCCTGTAAAAGAGAGTGTTACTTCTTCCCCACTTTGCAACAAAAAATTTGATTTGTAAGCAAAATAACAAACACTCAGCATCTTTGAATTTAACACTTCCAGTTATAGTCTCGTATACTAACTCTATCTTCACTGTTGAGCCTTCAGGCCGAGTGTCTTTCGGAGCTGAAATATTTTCAGCACTTGCCTGATTAGCTGAATTCCTAAAACAGACAAATAAAGCACTGAGTATTTGGTTTAAATGTTCAGATTTAACTGAGATTAAGCTTGAAATATGCAGATTTGCAGAGAAGCAGTAAATATTTGCTCAGGTTTTGCACAGTTTAATTTACATTCAGCACCAACATACCCTTCAGATGAAATGACCTCTGCCTTTTGAAGAGGAGAACTTGGTGGAGGATCTATTGCTCTACAAGGTACGAATAAGAAGAGAAAAGAGAAAGCCTTATATTTTCTTAATTGCTTCTTCAGAACCAATAAGAGATTTCATCACCTTCTAACTATGTTGGCTCAGAAATAAAGTCTAAGCCAAATGCTCCACATTAGAGTAGTGACTGATGTCTCTAGTGAGCAATAATATAAATGTACATCATTAGCTATCATATATAGTGCTTGCTTAATGAATACAGCGTCAGCAGTATTCTGGGAGTTTCAGAATCTCTTATATAAACAACGTTCATCCATAACTTACATTAAAAAAAATTTGTATGAAGAGTGCAACCTGCATTGAAGGATGAGCATTCTGAGCATGTGAAGTCAGTGATTGATGAAACAAAGCTAACAAATAAGGCCTTAAATGTCAACACAATGTTTATTAATGGTGTAAATATCACCAGACACGTTGCAGTGAAGTGGTGGCTGAGGCTGGTAATAAATGAGAGACACACAAACTAAAATCTAACTTTTCCCGCAGGAGCAAAGCCTCTTGATACAGAAGAATATGCTGTATACACAACAAACTGTGAGGTAATGGTCCCTTTGCAGCTTAACAAGTGACAGCAAAACATGTGGTGTTTGTCATTCATGAGTGTGTGAACTGAACTATTAATTCAGAAGGTTTATGACTTGTGTCAATTGCGGTCATCTAAAACAGCGAGTATACACACATTTGTCTATCTTTTTAGTGCATTTCTATTATTTCTGTTAAAAAAAAATCTGACTTGATAGAAAATGTTTATGGACTTTGAACCATCAGACCCAGGGAACAGATGTGTAAAAGGCCGAAAGGTACAGCAGATGGCTAAGACATCAGCACAACTTTTAATTTTGGAACATCCAAATAAGGACAACATAACAGTGTTTGCTGGGTTAGTGTTGGTAAGAACACTTTGGGGAAGCTAAGCTTCATGAGGCCTCTTCATAGCGGTGTCTCTGGTTTTACTCCAAATAAGGAGAACATAACAGTGTTTGCTGGGATAATCTGGGAAAGAAAGAAAGAAAGACAGACAGACAGACAGACAGACAGACAGACAGACAGACAGACAGACAGACAGACAGACAGACAGATAGATAGATAGATAGATAGATAGATAGATAGATAGATAGATAGATAGATAGATAGATAGATAGATAGATAGATAGATAGATAGATAGATAGATAGATAGATAGATAGATAGATAGATAGATAGATAGATAGATAGATACGTGAATAAATTCTAATATATTCATAAAAGAACACCAAATCATCAAGACATCAACAGTGGTGGTGGTGTGATAAATTAATGGAACAATGATGTAAGCATTATGCTTTATGTAGCAGCACAAATATAAGGTTTTAAAGTGGCCTAGACAAAGTGGGACTTACATCCAATTGAGATATTTTGGCATGTTCTCTATTAGACTGTTCAGCCCTTCAGTGTGGCTAAATTAAAAGAACTGCAGTATCACAAACGCTTCAGTTCCTGCTGCCAGGGGTGGCACAACGAGAGGGCAATTACTTTTCACATAAGACCAGGTAGTGTTGGACATTTTTTTCCCCCTTAATAGAGGAAAGGATCATTTAAAAACTGTTTTTGTATTTACTCAGGTTATCCTTGTCTAATATTAAAATTTGTTTGTTGTTCTGAAACATGTAAGTGTGACAAATATGTACAAAAAATAAAATAAATAAATCAAGAAGGGAGAAAAATATTTTTTTTCACAACAATGCTGCCTAGCTGATTATCATTACAAGGGCACTGTAGTGCAATTTATTGATTTGGTCAGTGGTCAGCGTCTCCATAGGCTTGGGCTCTTATTTTCTTGATACCTCTATTTTGAAAGCGTCGTGGAAATACTTCCGGTCTTGTTCCGCTTTTCCCCGGCTTCGTAAAGTAGTAGCATATTGCTAAGCGGAAAAGTTAACGGCGATAGTCAAATGTAGCAGCATTATTTTAATTCTCTGTAACTAGCAAACATATCAGTGGCCACTGTGGAATCAACACTACCCAGGTGGGCTGTTTTCAAGTGTAGTATCGTCTCAAAATAGCACCACAGTCCTTACGTCTGCTGTTTTACATCAAAAATAATACCAGCACGGTCCGAGACGAGTAAGTCGCTTCGTATTTTACGACTTTTACTTTTAATAAAAAAACATAATAGTAGTTAATAGAAAATTCATGTGGCCTGCTGTATCATTTTTAGAGCTAAATGAGGTGCCTCCAAAAATGTTACTTCCCGATGCTTTCCACCAGGTTTTGAAAGAAACTTGACATAAGCCTATCAGGTTACTTAACACTGATACAGTGTTTTTCAAAACAAAATATAGCATAAATATTATTTTAGGCCCGGTTAAAAAAATAAAATCTTAAATGGCATTCTGTTCCTTGTTATTTCAATACATTAGTGCAGGCTCTAAACATCGCTTTGGGCCCCTTTTAAGCAAAAAAACAACAAAAATAGCAAGATCTTTTATTCTTATTGAAGTGAGCTTAGAGATCTAAAAATGCATTACCTGTTTAATAAAGTCAGCTTTATAGGTGACTAACAAACTCGAGCCTTTTATATCTGGTTGTCATGAGCGCTGAAGGACTGCAATAAACTCCAACTACACAAAGTACAAAGCAATTATTTCTGGTAAAGTAAAAATGTGTTTAATTAGTAAGCTTATACCAATGTCAATGTGATTTGTGATTCTTTTTGGTGCTAAGCCAGGCCACTTTGTGGCTGTCGGATTTTTACTTGTATGGTTCATCTCAGTATTTTCTTGTGTTGCCTTAGGGGGAAAAATGCCATCGAGAAATCACCTTGATAAAATCGGGAGGAAGAAAAAGAAGAGGTGGACAGAGGACGCCATGGAGCGTGCACTGATAGAGGTCAAGTCAGGCAGGTGCACAGTGAGACAAGCCGCCAAGGAGTTTGGAGTCCCTAAATCTTCACTGGGGGACAGAGTCAGTGGACGGGTGACCCCTGGGAGCCGTAGCGGCCCGGCTCAGCTTATAACATCTGCTGATGAGGAGTTGTTGGTCGAGTTCTCCTTATACATGTCCAGGCATGGATTCCCACTTACAAAGCAGCAGCTGGTGTCCTTCGCATCGTCAATTTATAAGCGGCAACACCGGAGGGTGGCATTTTCCAAACTGGGCCAGACATGGTGGCTCAATTTTAGAAAGAGACAAGAGAAAAACATCACTATTCAGCCAGCAGACAATGTTGTCCGTGGGAGGACTGTGTCAGTGAGAAAGGAAGCAGTAGATCAGTTTTTTCACCTCCTGAGGACTGTTGTAGATGCTCATGAGCTCATAGACAAGCCTCACCAAATTTTCAACTGCAATGACACAGACTTTCAGCTGAGTAGGAAGAGGGTGACTCTCCCCAAATCTGTCGGTCTAGGCTACAAGCCAGCGCCAGGCTCCAGGGACCATGTCTCCGTCTTGGCTTGCTTTAATGCGGTTGGAGAGGACATCCCCCCATTTATAATCTACTCAAAGGCCTATCCAGGGGGAGTATGCTACAAGACACAAGGACCACCGAATGCCCTATACGGGTGGTCAGACTCGGGATGTATCAATTCAGACCTCTTTAAGAAATGGTTCCTCAAACATTTTCTCGTGCACGCACCAAAGGAGCGTCCACTGCTGCTGATTTTCGATGGCCACAAGTCACCCGTGAACCTGGAGGTGGTGGAAACAGCTCGTAAGGAGGATGTCATTCTTCTGTGCCTCCCACCTCATTGCTCCCACATCCTCCAGCCACTCAATGACGGTCTCTTTGTGGTCCTCAAGCAGCACTTTGCTTCATTCCTAGGCGACGGCTACACTACTGACACCCACTTTGCAGTTAGCAAAAAGGAGTTCTCAGGGGTTTTCAAAGGAACATATCAGGTAGCAAAGGAGGAGGAAGGTGTGAGAATTGTGAAGGAAGGCTTTAGGAAATCTGGGATCTACCCACTGAACCCCTTCACCATCTGTGACAGACACATGATATCAGCCCACCACCCTGGCCAGATAGCTGCACCCTCCTTGTCAACACCAGTGCCGGGAGTGCACACTGTAGGAGACCTCACAGATGCTGGGCCGTCTTCCTAATTCATCGCTATAAAAATGAAAGTGTGATTGACTGCATAATTGAGCAAAGCAGAAATGAACACAGGCTCGTTCTGTCTTTCAAAATACTGAATTAATTACAGTCCTGTTTTTTAATATAGTGAACCACCTCCTGCTGCCTCCCTGCAGAGAGCCCTGTTTGAGGAAGGCTTGCATTGTTATTAATTACTACTCAACAATGAGCTCAGTTTTAGTTATCTGGTAATAATGTTTGAATGATGCACAACTGTGGTTTTCAATGGGTTGGGAGTCCCAAGGTGAACATGATTTTCAAAAGGATATTAAAAGAAAAATAGAGGAAATATTTCTGCTTAACAAAAATCTGTAATTTCTCTTCATAAATGCTTCCATCTTCTTGTGAATTATTGGATGGCAAGCCATTTAAATTAAGTGACCCATAAAAGAAAAACACTTGCAAAGCACTCACAAGTTGCTTCATCCTAGGGGATTGTGAGCAAAAGGACATTTGTAGATATTCAGTGCCATCTTTTTTTGGTATTGCTGGCCAGTCAGGTAGCGAAGCTAACCATCATTGGTAAGGGGCATGATTTCAGTTTAGTGGTCTCTGACAGCAAGTGAGGGAGGGGAGGCTGTGAGGTGTGAGTTGCCCGAGCAGTTCTGCACAGATATAACACCGGTGCTTCACTCTGTCATTTGTTTTATGTATCTAAGTAATGTGACAAATTCACTCGATTATCTCAAACACACTGGAACGGATAAAAGAATGGATTTAAAGCTTGGGCACATTTTCATATGTTATCTGTTGTAGACGTCTGATAACTACACTTTATGCTGTGCAAGATGTCTCTGAAGCACAATCAAGCCTCTTAACTACCAGACTGATTTTGAGTGGAAGTTGGAACCATTTATTGAAGGATGTGTCATCAACAGATGATGCAGCTGTAGAATATGATACACCTACTGCTGTTGTCATGGTTTTCTTTGGAGGTCAAAGAAAATATGTCCATTTTTGGTTCCAACGGTTGTTGTCTTTTTTTCCCTAAATAGTTTAAAATTGTACATGTGATTCTGTTGTTCCTTTACTTACATCTACTGGCCTCTTTGTTAGGTACGCCTGTTTAGCTTCTCATTAATGCATATATCAAGTCAGCCAATCACATGGCAGCACTGTGCTATCATGTTAATGTAGATCATAATCTCAGGAAGGTTTCCAGCATGTTGTTGAATCTATGGTATGAATAATTAAGACAGTTCTGGAGGAAAAGGGGTCCAACCCAGTACAAGCAAGGTGTACATAATAAAGTGGCCTGTGAACATAAGTATCCTGAATAATTGTGAACACAGAAACTGATATAAAAGTAAACCCAAGACCTTTTTAAATAATTTGCTGCTTTCTGTTCACCTGGAAGAATGAACCCTACGTGATCTCAGGGGGAAAAGTCAGACATCTAGAATAAAGATATTTTTAAATGTGTTTGAAGCAAAAATTTGTCCATAACCTTAATAATTTACAAAATTTTGCTGTAGCCATAGTTGAGTGTGTGTGTGTGTCTGTGTTATGTACATGTTCAGGCTGAGTGATGTAATGTCAGTGCAATTGATACATTTGCCGACAGTAGTCGGGCAGCTAAGGCTGACGTATCCTTTATTTAGTAGAAATATTGTGCAACCAAGCAGAAGAACATCTTTCTGTTCTATTACCTGTATAAAATAACTCTGTATATGACTATAATTATTGGATGCCTATATCAAAATCATAATTTTAATGCACAGGGGTATCAATATTAACATTAACCTTTTTTTTTTAACAAAGCTGGAAAAACATTTGTCACATACCATATAATTAACAATCTCATATGTTAAGTTGTTCCCTAGAAAGCTTTTGCTACAGTATTCAAGGAAAAAATACGCATGTGTCCTACAGGGAAGCACCCCAGTAAGATTAACGTTTGATCAACCAGCTTAAGTGTAGGTCACACTGCAGTGTACTTTAGAGTTTTATGGATGCGGTACAGATGCCCAGGGCTAAGTTAATGTTTTTGTACTGTATGTTAATATCACAGATGGTGATTTGTGCCTGAAGCCTGGAATATTTTTAGTTATGATTCAATGACACAGCACAGTCGAAGGACAATTTGAGTTTAACTTGCAGAACTGCCACCACACTGTGTGGTGCCATACACATGGGTCTAATATTTAAGTTTTACATTATTTTTCTTTTAAAAAAAATAGATTTACAGTCATGGTAAAAATTTATGGCCTCTGTCAGTTCTGAGGTTTACATATGAGGGCATATTGAAAGTAAATCATGCTCTTAAAGTTTCTGAAATACAACCTCAGACGAACAACAATGCGTGACGTATTACACGGTTTAAAAAAAACAAACTAAGCCAAAATGCAGAAGGAGTGTGTGAAAAGAACAACCAGTGACTGAGTAGCTGGTAGAACCACCTTTAGCAACAATAACTTGAATAGCTTCCTGTATGACTTTATCAATCTGCCACATCATTGCGGAGGAATTTTGGTCCACTTTTCTTTAACTTGTTGCCTTTTTTCTTTTTCAGCCATTCTGTTATAGAGTTGCTGATGTGATTGGATTCATTGTCCCGTTGAAAGAACCAGTTTTGGACAAGCTGTAGCTGTCAGACAGATGCCCTCACATTTGACTCTAAGAATACTTTGGTATACAGAGGAGTTCATCATGGTCAAGTTAGTGATATCAAGGTGCCCACTTCATGTGGCTGCAAAACCAGCCCAAATCATCACCCGTCCACCAACATGCCTAAGAGTTGCTATAAAATGTTTGTGCATTTTTTTTGTTGTTGTTTGTTTGTTTTGGGGGGTGTTTTACCAAACATGAAACTACACACTATGGTCAGACATCTCCACTTCTGTTGTTCAGTCTTTTCCTGGTTGCACTGTCACAAATTTTAACATTTTGCATGCTAACTGAGGCCTATAGACTCTGATTTGATTTCTCTAAGCACCTTAGGGCGAATTTGGTGATAAGGCTGTACTTAGTTCTTCACACACTACTTCTGCATTTTTGCTTTGTTGTTGTCTTTAAAAAAAAAACAATATTGTAATATGTGAAGTTTTAAAGTTCATCTGAAGTTATATTTACCAAGCCATGGTAAGGACTAGACTATTATTTTTCATATGTGCGGATGCTTGAAAGCTTAGAAATGAAAGTTGTTGTTTTTTTTGTTTGTTTGTTTTACCATTTCTGTGTATTTGTCAGTTAAATCCGGTGTGCCTGAGCAACGTTTACATTCAAAAGTGTTTTTTCTTTTTTAAAATAATTTTGCAGCACTCACTCAAATCTCCTGGCTGCCAACCGGACTTGTGAACTCCTAGCTGGAATAGGTTTAGTTTCCACATCTGTGTTCGTTCTGCAACACAGAAGAGGTTGCTGTGACACTGAGACAGGACAGCTTCAATTATCCCTTTCAATTAAAAAAAACAAAATTTTAAAACTCAATTTTTGAAGTTGCATCTCAATCACTGTGAGTACCCCGCTGTGTCTTGTTCTTTCTTGGCATCATTTGATCTTTGGATCCAGCTGCCGTCCTTTTTTAATGTAGACCGCACCCTGATGTTTTGAAGCACCTGGCTTCTGTTAATATCTACAACACACACACACTTTTATCAGTACTGCATACCAAGAAATAGTTTTTTCTTCCATGTTTAATCTTATCAAATACTCACCTTTTGACATGCTGCTGATGTTTTCTCAGATGTTCAACCTGAGGAAATATTTGATGATAAACTTTCTGTACGTTTTATCTGTCATACTCTACACTCATTCCCAACTCACCCCCTTTCGCAACCTGTAAAGCTGTATTCCTATACACAAAAAACTCATCCACCATGATAAAGTGATATTGAAGCATTTACGCTTTGTTATTAACACATGTGGACAGTTATTATTATCTGAATAAAACCATTTGAGCATACCAGAAGACATTCCACAATAAAACTTGTGCAAAAATCGAATCTGCTTGTAAACACTATTAACAAATGTATCTCGTGCTCTCCCCAGTCTCTCTGCATCTTGTCATATTGCGCATCTGTTCTGTATTCTCTTCAAGCGCCTGTTAACATTTTGACCTGTGCTTAGTGCTTTAATCTCTTGTGATGAATCTTTCTGGAGATGTGCCAGCCCCAATTAAGCAGGTCAAATTCATTATTCATAGAAAAGGAAAGCAATTCAGATTTGGTAATGAGGCCTTCCTCACACAGGCCACGAACAGGGGTGTGAAGTCCATTTTTGTGCCGTATTGTGTTCTCACCTGTTTGTGTCAGAGCAGATCAGTGCCGGTCCTCCTCCGGGTCTCTGTGACACGCAAATAAGATGGCAGAAATACCTCCACCAGAGCCCCCACCCCCTGCAGTTTCAGATCCCGCCCCCCTCCCCTGTTAGTTTTGAAGTGCCGCACCTGGATGATGCTACACAGGCTCATTGAGCAAGCGGATAGGCTGGGTGATAAGAGGGGCAGCACTGTTTTGTGGTTTCGATTTTTCTGAGTGTGAGAGGTCACATTCCAGGGATGTTTTCTAGTGAGATTTTCAGTCTTTGCTAAGAAGCAAATTAAAAATAGGCTTTTATAACCTGCCTGACAGCTTAAAGGTATTTAAATGAACCCTGCAGGTTAGTACTTGATGCTGTTTTCTTTCCTACTAATGGCTATAGCAGGGGATTAAACTGAACTCAATTCTGCTCAATATTAATGTAATCTCTTTATACACTTATTGGTGAGACCCTCCACAACAGTCCCAGTTTCTCATGTGGTCCCATGGGAAAATTAATTGCCCATCACTGAACAATAGCCTTTGAAAAAAAGTAGACAACTGAAAACCTGCATATCATTAACCACAAAAGTTTTTTTTTTTTCAAATATAAAAAGCTTGTAGTATTGTTTCACCCACAACAAAGACTTTCTTTCACAAGCATACTGTTCCAGTTGGTAGGCTTCTAGGAATCAAGCGGGACCAGATCTCAGAGTTGTTAGAATTTAATCTACTGTCTCATCAGACCTTTTTAATAATATTTACATTGAAAATCCTTAAACCGAAATGCCCATTCTCTCCAGTGAAAATAAAAAGGCACAGAGAAAAGCTTAACCTCATTATTTGATGTTTACTTTACATTTTAATAAACTGAAATATTCACATTTTGGTCTGTGGGTGTACAGGGGACTCTGTGTGCAAAAGAAATTAATGCGGTTTTTAGTTCTTGTTATGACTGGCTCATAGGGTAAACAGCAGGTTGGTGGTTGAATTGCTGGCTGTTCCAGTTTGCATGCCGAAAGCATCCTTGGGCAAGATACTGAACCCTGAGTTATTTCCAATGTGTTCATTGGAGTGTGAGTGTTAGACAGGAAGTACTTTATGTGTGAATAAACATATTGTATAAAGTCCTTTGAGTGCTCAGGTAGAGCAGAAGCCAGTATATAAGAACTGGTCCATTTACTTTTCAGGTTTTTAAACGTAAGAGTATTCGCTTTCTTTCACTGAGGCTAACTCAAAACCTGTAGAGATGCCATGAAAATGTTTAACTTTTTTTTGTAACTGTGTCATTCTTTTTTACTTTTCCAGTTTCCTTACTTCAGTTTGTAAAGTTTCACAATAGGGATGGATGTGTGTGTGTGGGTGCACAAGTATAAGTATATATATCTGTAAATTTGTATATCTTTTGACGTGTTACTCACGTTATAAAAGCAAATACATGTAACAAATTGTAAGGAAGAATTTATGATGGGTAGTGCATGGACAGGAAGAAAAAGTGTTGACTATTAGTTACTAAATTGTGGAAAGGTGGTGGGATTAAATAAGCTTATGCTTTTTCCTACTCCTTTTTGAACATGTAAGTTATTTATAATTATTATTGTTTTGTTTTCCTTTAGTTTTGATTTGCTTGTTTGTCTATTTAAACATGTTCAAAATAAAGATACAATAAAATTACAAATAAAAGTATTGCTGCTTAGACAGAAAATATTTGAACGTTAAGTGGAATCCAGTAGAACCACTTGTTTTCCTGGTTCTCTCACAGAACAGTATCGAGATAAAAGAGAAACCATCGAAGTGGTGAATGATGTGTACAATTCGTAATGAAGGAGTGTACATTTTTTTGTGTCATGAAAATGCATGTCACACACATAAAGGGGCCAACGTTAAAACTGTGTGTCTTTTTCAACATAAGTAAGGTGTATTACTACTAATAATAAGAATAGCAGTAGCAATTTTGGTGAGTGTAGCAACACTACTCCAAAACTACTGAATGTACTGTGTTAGAGTTGTTTGTGATACCATTACAGGGAGGCTGTGCTTTGAATGCACTTTCTACGCATCTGTTTGAGCTCTGCACTTAACAGCATCCTCCCTTAACTCCTTCACTGTAGTGATGGGATTTCTGGCTCTTTTTAGAGAACCGGCTCTTTTGGCTCAGCTCACTAAAAAGAGCCGGCTCTTTCGGCTCCGAACCGGCTCTTCAGGTTGTTTTGTTGCTTTAATTAATTTATTATTAACAATAATATAAAATTATGCACAAAAGGAATTACTAATGTAAAAAAAAGTCGTTTTATTTATATATGTTTATATATAAATATATACAGTGGACCCTAGAGGCAAAGCATGTACAAACTCCAAAACACATTTCTAGCGTTAACTGAACTTCAAAACAGAGCTACCTAGATCACTTAAATTACACAATTGAAAGCATATGTGTATTGTTTGTGTATTTATACACAAGCACTCATATATATTCAAATAATTAAAAAAAAAAGTTCATTTACCTGTTACTACCACACACCAAATCCGGTTGTTGGTACTTGCTGGCTTGTGTAGCCTCTAGGTAACAAAAGCTCAACACTGGGCCTGGCATCCTGGAGCACTTCTGTTGTGTTTTTACATGTTTTGGAGTTTTTACGTGTTTTGGAGTTTGTATGCGCTTTATCTCTAGGGGCCACCATAAATATACTTTTATTTATTCACTCCACATAAAATCTAATAAATAAATCATATAATTCAAAAACCAACTAGTCACAGTTCAACTTTTAACTATTTAAATTTTCAGCTTTTTCCTTTTAACCCTTTAAAGCCGATCAGAGCAGCACGCTCCGTTTTGCGTAACTATTTTTAAATCCCTGTAGAACCGGAACTGCGTAAGCTAGCGCAATAATTTTTTTTTGCATATGAAACCGGAGGAGTTGTACTTACATCTTATGCCATCGGGTTGTCCTAGGTCATGGTTTCCTTCCACTTATAGCTTTGCAAATATTGCATAAAAAGCGCTTGCAGGAACAAAAACATAATATTCCAGAAACACACTTTGCCGATCCGATCAGCTATTCGTAACACTTCACTCATTGAAACAGACGTCAGCGGAACAATCACATGTCCTCCATTACCTGCCCGAAACCGGGAGTGACGTCATTTTCGCGGAAAATGTAGTTTTTTACTTGTAGGCCTTAAAAGCCTATACTGGTGTTTTTATAAGTCATGTTTGACTTTATGCTTTTCTGAATAGTTGCTGGGATGCTTAGAACACTGCTTAAAATAGTTTATTTTGATGCACATGCTGTTTTCTTTGCAAATTTGCATCATAGGATTGTTTTTCGTTTTTCCTGCAGTATATAAAAATTGGTGTATCTCAAAAATAAAACTATGAAGACACTCAAAATTTCCTGTTGTTGTAAACTATTTTTTGCAACTTTTTTGTATTTAAAGTTTTGAAAGATAAACCTCTTAAATTTCTCCAAGTAGAAATATATGTAAAAAAAAAAACGATTTTCAATTTTTTTGTAGTTTATTGCACTTTTTTGCAATTTATGTAGTTACTATGGACTTAATGCATACATATTATTAAAATATGGGCTATAACAGTTGTGTTGATGTATAGCAACTTGAAATGCTCCCAAAAATGGCACTACAGCATGTAAAAATATAAAGTAAGCTCTGGCGGCCTTGGTTCTATGGTAGGTCTTAAAGGGTTAAACAAATTTAAAATGAAACAACACAAAACGCTGAAAACCACAACACAATTAAATATAAATTAAAATATGAAAACAAAAAGAAGATGTATATTCTCTGTCATATGAGCCTGCATAAATAAACTTTCTGAATCCTTTATCATCTGCAACTGAAAATAGTTGTGGATGATTACTATACCTTTCTAATGTGATGTTGTTGTCCCTGGCTCTCTTTCTCTCCCTCCTGCTCTGTTCCTGTGCTACTGAGAGTGTAACTACTGCTCCTCCCCCCTCTGCCCAGCGCAAGGCACAAGGCTCGAGTGTGGAGTGAAGCCGAAAAAAGGGTGAGAGAGAGGGTGAGAGAAGGAAAGACAAAACCCCGCGGCTCCCGTCGTTCACGTCAAAGACCCGGCTCATTAAGAGCCATTTCGTTTGCAACTGACACATCACTACTTCACTGTAACACAATGCACTATTGAGAAGACAGGTCACTCCTCCGCTGATGCCCCTGTAGTCAGTTTAGTCTATCAGTCTTTTGGAAGTGAAATAAAAAATAATAAAGTGAAAGTGAAGTGAAAGCAAAATAAAAATTGGAGAGGCTGTAGCATATTTGTTAAGTTATATGCGTACACCCTAGTCGTGTCAACGCTGTGTTGAGATGTAAGAAGTTTAAAATGTCTCATATTTCGCACGCTATTTTCTCTGAGTGTTCCTGAACACATCTTTTTTCCCCCGGAAGTGACGTTGATTGTTGTATCAGCGTTCCTTTCGTCGTGTGGTAGCGGCTTTGTAAGTGTTGTTGCTTTAAACCTAATTTTTAAATACTGCTTAATGGATTTTTTTATTTCCTTTATTTTTGGCTGTAATATCACTTCTCTGAAACATTATCCGTGTTACTGAAGGCTCGAATTACTGTCGTTTTCAACCTCATCGGCTTTTATAGGAAGCAGCGTTTTAGCTTTAGCAGCTAGCAGGCTAATTTGTTCTTTTCATTTACTTGCCTGTTGGCAGCTGATACTTATCCTACAAAGAAGTGTTTAAAATGCCACAGTCGCAGTTTAATAAGAGAATTGTTAATTATAGGTTTAATTGATTGACCTGGAGTTTTAGCATGTGAGCAAATGATATTTGTTAGGAAGATTACGTAACTTGTAATCTAAATGCCTCTCAAATGTTATTTACGTTGCAAACATGGAAACACATGCAAACTATAAGCGGTTTGATCACCACTGAGGTTTAATGAATGGATGGTTGATATTTGGGAAAGGGTACTGTTGTACCAGCTTGTCTAAAAACCAAAAAGATGAGCCTTCTGACTTTCTATAAAACACATAAGTGGAGTAAACGCCTGTTGTGTTGTAGGGAACTGCAATTTGATAATGGACACCGTGACTTTTTTGCTTTTACTGCTTGCAGCTTTTCCATCTGTTTGATAGTTTTAATGTCCCCTGTGTCTAATTGCAGAGCCATCAAAGATGACTACAGCTGCAAGACCAACATTTGAGCCGGCAAGAGGAGGGAGGGGTAAAGGAGAAGGTGATTTGAGTGCTCTCTCCAAGCAGTACTCCAGTCGAGATCTTCCAGGTCACACAAAGATCAAGTACAGGTCAGATGATCAAATGTGAATGGAGTTTTATCATTACCTGATCTGATGGCTGGTTTGCTAGAGGGAAAGATGCTTTCGGATCAGTTCCTACTGCATCATCTGTCTGCTCACTGTGAGAGTGGTGAAAGTGTTCCAGAAAGCATTCTGGATGAACATTAGAGTTTATTGATCTGCAAATGTTCTCCCTTCTGCAGGCAGCCTACCCAGGATGCCCCCGAGGAGGTCCGTGCCCGTGACTTTCGCAGAGAGCTGGAGGAGAGGGAGCGTGTAGCAGTACGTGAAAAGACCAGAGAGAGGGGACCAAGAGGTTGGTCTTTCTGCAGAAATTAGACTTCCTGTAGAAATTAGACTTCCTGTTAATGTAAAATATATTTTAGATTATATTTATTTTCTCACATATAGCATTATGTTGGTCTTATTTTTTCCAGAGCACACCACATCATCATCATCTTCTTCATCATCTTCAAAGAGGCCAAGACTGGATCAGATTCCAGCTGCTAACCTTGATGCTGATGATCCTCTCACTGATGTGAGTGTCTGCAATGCAAGACATTTTGGGCATTTAACTTGAGTGGTGATTAGTACTGATTAATCTCCCTTAATAATTATTTTTATTTTATTAGGATGATGAGGACGAGGACTCTGATGAAGATAGTGATGATGATGACACTGCAGCTCTTTTGGCTGAATTGGAGAAGATTAAAAAAGAGCGTGCTGAAGAGCAAGAACGCAAAGTAACTTTGTTTTAGGCTGTTCTGTTTGCACTAACTGTAATAAGATGCTACATTTGAACATAAGAAATGTTACTTCTTTATATTCAGTAAAATATTATTTTTTTCCATCTTAGGAACGAGAGCAAAAGGCAGAGGAGGAGAGAATTCGAATGGAAAATATCTTGAGCGGCAATCCACTGATTAATTTGGCTGGACAGCAGCAACAGAACCAGAACCAGAATTCATTCAGAGTCAAGAGAAGGTATGTCTCACTTATACACACAGTAAAAACACAGGATGAGGTTTGTATTTGGGGAAAAGGCCTCTTAAATCTAATCTTGATTTCATTTCTTAATATTATTCAAGGTGGGATGATGACGTAGTGTTCAAGAATTGTGCCAAAGGAGTGGACGAAGCACGGAAGGAGAAACGCTTTGTGAATGACACACTGCGCTCTGAATTTCACAAGAAATTTATGGAGAAATATGTAAAGTAGAGGACTTCCTCTGTGTCATTTGTATTGTTTTTGTTTTTATTATCAAATGTGTTTGGTCTCCTTCCTCTACCCTCTGTTGCGGAGGGTACATGGTTTTTCAAATAAACTCTGTATAGAACTTGATTAATACTTGTACAGTCATCCATCTATCCATGCTATTAACCACGTATCCATCTGTACAGTCATGCTGTATATAAATGTGTCAACGTGACATCCTTTGAGTGAAATTTGTCAAAAGTTAAGTGCAGTTTTAAAATGTGACCAGACATTTATTTTCTTTGGGGGTTTTTTTTTTCAGCTGGCAGAGATTATATAAACTAGCATCTCCACAAATGCACAGTTAGATTAGGATCCAGTCAGACCATCACAAGGAAATATCTTCCTTCTGTTTAGCCGCTCCACGCACACAAACATTTCATTCAAAACAGTGTAGAGATCTGCAGTCAAGCCTTTATTTCTTTATGCAGCCATGTGTCATTGACTTTTTCCCTGCTTATCTTATTCAAGGGCACAGGGGCGCTGGAGCCTGATTTAGACTTCTGTGGGAAATCGTAACGTAACCGGAAAGCCTTCTTAACCCTACACCGCAACCTGACCTGCACCTCTCAAGAAATATAGCTACATCTCAGGTCGATGCAGACTGCAACAACTGAATGACATGGAAGGTTACAGTGTAGAGTTAAGACGGGTTTCGGTTGCAGTAGAAGGTACAACTTGGATTTCCTGCAGAAGTCTAAATCAGGCACATCCCAAAGGCACAATACACCCTGTCAGTCTGTCACATTTCTTGTGGAATTCTTTTTTTCAATAAAGTGTCTTCATATTAAACTGCTTTATGAACCCTTAAAAATAAACAGACTGAAAAATCAAAAGCACATCAGTCACCAGGATACTGTTATCCTATACACACAAAACTTTCCAGTAAAATAAAGGTGCAAGTTTTATGTTAATCTTATCCAAACTACATGTTCCACTTCATCAAGATTAGAATATTCCCAGTTTATTACTCATTTAATGAATTGTCTGTAATTATGCAGAATTGTTGAACAATTTGAGCACATTTAATTTTGGTGTATTTCCATGCAGATACAGCTTCTCCCTTCTTATTAAACCTAGCTGCATACAGTAGACTTCTTGTCTAAAATCCATTTTGCATTTGAAATTATCAGCTTCATCTCATTCAATAGAAAGTAGCAGTAAAGTCAAACAAAAGTGACTATTTCTATTGTTCTTGCATTAAGTCTTTCATTGACACGAATGTAAACACGTTTTAAGTTACTGTCAGTACTAAAGTTAATTTTACTGCACTTTAGCCATTTCATTATTCCAGCATTCATTATTATGGACCCAAGGCAGTGACATTACCCACGTGGACGTTGGGTGGATAATTAGACAATGTGTACGTCTTCATTAAAAATAAGCATTATCCTGTCATCCACTTTCTACTGCGTAGCCAGAGGTTTGGCACGAGAGAAACGCGTTGCACGCGATCAGTTGTAGTTCCACAGAGAGACAGCAGAGGGCGCGCCCTCCAACGATCCTGCCTGTGACGGGGATTGGGAGGCTTCTGGGAAAAGATGGCAGCTTCCTTTTGTTTGTGGGGATTTGCTTCACTCGGAGGAGGGATTTAAAAGCGTTCAGTGGCTCTTTAGCGGTAAAGTCTTGACTCGCAATACCGGTTATCCAAACACTTGAAGAAGGAGAACATGGAGAAGAGCGGGAGTGTCGACAGCTTGGGCTCGAAGCGCTCCTCTTCCCGACAGCCGAGTGTAGATTCATTGTCCAGGTAGCTAAACTCACCGCCAGACACCGCCTTTTAAGCTAACCAAAAGTTTTGACACTATCGGCATGGGTTAGTTATTAAGGCTTTATAGCTAAAGTTAAGCGTGTCTAACTTCAGTACACTTCTTGTAAGCTTTTCCGCTGTGACTAATGTTATCCACCAGTGACGGTGTCCTACGAGCGCTACGAGACCAACGCAGCTTAAACTGTAAATTAGGACAACGCAGTTTTATCGATCCGCTCCAGTAATCACTCAGGCTGTGATGTGATAGAAATGTCAAACGGAAGCTAACAGAGCCTCGATGTAGTAGAGTGTTTGCCCAAACAGTGTCAAACTTATTTCAGTCCATGGACAACATAGAGCCCAGTTTGCGCTCGTGTGGGCCAGACAAGTTAAAAACACTTTCTCAAATCATGAAATATTTTTAGAACATTTTCTTCACAGCCACGTCTGATTTGCCTCAAAATGTTGTGGTTTGCACATATCTAATAATTGCTGTAGCGTTTTAGTTTCGTATATCAGATATTTTTGAAGATGGATTAGAAAAGAAGTTCCGTCGACATAAATAAAAGCCTGAAGTTTTCACTGGCTCCTTTTGCCATAAAATTGAATCGGGATCTGCAATTAAAAAAAACAACAAATCAAAACACAAAAAATCCCTCTCAATATGGGTTAATTAAAATACAGTAAATAAAAATCTCATTACAAAAACAACTAGTTTCACTTTCTTTTGCGATATAGTTGTATTTTATAGTACTGCAAAATAAAACATGTAGAATAGCTTTTTGACATAAACTTCTTAGTTGAAAAATGAAAATGCAAATCTCATTCAGCTTTCATGTTGGATTGAGCAAACATGACACGCTCCATCACAAAAACACCATTAGATGGTCTAATACAGATCAAAATTTCCAGATGATATTCTAATTATAACGGAGAACATAATTTAGTTTAGTCAAGTATATGTATATTTTTCATTTCTGACAATTACTTTATAGGCATGCATATAAAGTAGGAGTCTGATAATTCAGGTTAAGTTTAAGATATGCTCAGAGGTACTTAAAAATGCAGCTGTTCCAAGGTAATATTTTTTGCGCATACAAATGAATATAGAAAAACTATTAAGAGAAATGAGAAAGGGATTAGTAGCTCATTCCATGTGAGTAGTATTGCAAGGTCAGGTACGTGTGCACATGGTGAAATCAGTAGTCCGACACAAGACACTAACCCCTCGCCCTGATGTCACCGGGTGATGAGCATGCTGCCGGAATTGTAATCTGTTTTAAAATCTTACATTTTTGCATTTTAGTGTTCGTATCCTGTATAATTTTAAACTTAACCTCAGTTATACGACTCCTTGAGGGCATTGTGCATGCCCAGATCCATCAGAGGGGATCTGGAAAATGAAAAATATACATTTAACAAATTTTTGTCTCAGTCTGAGAAAAAAAAAGGGCCAATCTCAACAGATGTCTCTGTTTTTTTTAGTCATTGAGTCTTCTGTCATTACATATACGAATACGTATAGATATGTAAAAAAAAACTCCCCCCAAAAAAGAAAAGACTGCACCTAATAAATGGTTCTCACTTGTGTGATGTCACTTTCCACCAGCACTTCCACCTCTCGCTCTGACCGCTCTGCCCAGGCCAAACCACCATCTGCTATGTCCTCGGATTCTGTGTCCACCTCTGCAGAGTTTTCCCCAGAGCTCAGGGTTAGTGACCTGCATATGCTTCACCGCTATTATTTTTCTATTAAAACATTTTTTTTTAATTTAAAAACTGAAGCGTGGCTCTCCTCTTCTTTTTGCAGGTCAAGCCCAAAATATCTGCCAAGGTAGATGATTTTACACATTTAATTTTACCCATCCTATCCTATATGTTTGAGTAACATTTCCAGTCAAGAGACCACTCAGAACTAAAGATGATATGTTTCCAGCAGGCCATCAGAGATTCAGACAAAGAAGAACTGCAGTTGCTTCCAAATGAAACCGTGCAAGACATGGGTAGGTTTCCTTTCATCTGCAATCACAGCCCATCAAAACAGCAAAAATGCATCATCACCTTTATCCTCTTATTTTTATTCATAGCCCAAGATGTCACCTACTTCTGTCCCTTCACTGGAGCACTGAGGGGAACTGTGACTGTCACCAACTACAGGCTATTCTTTAAATCTATGGACAGGGTATGTTATTGATTATTTTTAATTTGTATTTTGAAGATTTATGTTTTTTGTTAATGTCTGGCTGATTTCCAGGACTCAACATTTATGTTGGACTTGCCACTTGGGGTGGTGAGTCGCGTGGAAAGGATTGGAAACGCTTCGAGTCGCGATGTGTCCTATGGGCTGGTGTGCAAAGTGAGTAAGCTTGTGAAAGTTGTAAAGAATTACTGCTTTCATTCATTTCATTTCATTTATTTGTTCATTTTCAGGCACAACAAATACCTATATTGAACATAAAATGCACAAAACAAAAAACAGAATCGCTAAGTTGCAAAATAGCCAAGTAGTTTACAGTTATTCAACTGAGAAGCAGAGACAGAGCTGGGCTATCTCTGTCTCTGCCAGAGATAGCCCATTAAGAAATAGTGAAGTTTTACAAAGGTCTACTTCTACGTTACCTTTCTTGGTAATAACGCTTGGCTGTGATGAAATGATACTTGCATACAGCTGCTAGCCCTTGAGTTTTTCCATGATTTGTTGCTCTGCATTTATACAGGATGTTCGTAATCTACGATTTGCACACAAACAGATGGAGGACACCCTCAGGAAGTCCATTTTTGAAGTGCTGATGAAATTCGCTTTTCCTGTTTCCAATGGGCTGGTAAGTACTGCCCAGCAATGCTGTTGCTGACTTTATAGTCCTGCACATACAGTACTGGGAAACACATATTCGTAGTCCTCTGAAAACTAAGTTCAATTTTAATTCAGTTAGATTTATATAGAACCAAATCACAGCAACAGTTGCCTCGTGGCACTTTGTATTATAAGGTAAAGACCCTCCAATAATACAGGCAAAACTCCAAAAATCAGACGACCCCTTATGAGCAAGCACTTTGGCAACATTTGGAAGGAAAAACTCCCATTTAACAGGAAGGAAGCTCCAGCAGAACCAGGCTCAGGGAGGGGCGGCCATCACTCGTGACCAGTTAGGGGTTAGGGGAGGAAGACAGGACAAAGACACGCTGTGGAGGAGAGCCAGAGAACTAAAGTATTTTAGAGTCAAATGTGAAGCCATCTGTTCAACAGTTAAAGCTTGGCCCTAATTGGGTCATTTAATAAGATAATGATCCCAAGCACAGTTTCAAATGTAAAACATAATGGCCAGTCCAGACCTCAAACCATTTGAAATGCTGTGCCTAAACAAATACCTGCAAACCTCAATGACCTCAAGCAACGTGTTCAAGAGTGGGCTAAAATTCCTCCACCATCATAACGTCATACAGAAAATGATTACTTCAAATTGTTGCTCTTAAAGATGGTTACATAAGATACTGAATTGTGGAGTGTACTTAGTTTTTCACAGGTCTAACTTTCACAGGTCTTTTACAAAGTGCACAAACTGTTTTTCGTGTACAACCAACTGAAAAATGTCTCCCCCACTCTCCACAGCAAATCTTTGCCTTTGAATATGGGCAGGTGTTTCCTGAAAATGGATGGAAGGTGTATGATGCTCTCTCAGAGTATAAAAGACAGGTACTTAAGTTATGCAGAATGCTTTGTTAAATGTTAAAGTGCACTCATAAAACCGGTTACTTATGTCTTTTCTTTTTTTGTCAAGGGTATACCCAATGAAAGCTGGAGGATAACTAAAGTAAACGATCACTATGAGCTGTGCGACACGTACCCATCAACACTGGCAGTGCCTGTTAACATACCAGACGAGGAGCTGAAAAGAGTCGCTGCCTTCCGAGCAAAGGGAAGGATACCGGTGAGCAACCGTATTTTTCAGCGGTACTATAATTGTCTGTGTGTGCCCGGCTTGCAGGACAGTCTGTGCTGATATTCTGCTACACATTATTTAAAGGTGTTGTCATGGATCCA